TTTTGGCATGATGGATAAAAGATGATGCGTTTCTCGTACCGAGCAAGGTTATTGTTCAGGTATTATTATTTTCCCTCGCTCACCCCACGACCCCTTAATCTCCCCCGCCCTCCCCCCCCCCCATAACCGAAACCGCTATTTTTCTCTCTTCATATTCTCATTGTATGGCTTTCACTCATTGCCCATTCATTCAATTAATTCATTCATAATCATCAAGATTCACTGCCATAATTTTTACTTTCGCCGAATTCTCGCATCGCAGATTCGCCCCCATTGCGTCCTCTCGTCTATTTCATTCACCTCATCCCCCAACAAAATGACATCCACGTGTGCCGCTGCTCATTCTGCGTAAAGCGCCTCGGATATAAGGCGCTAATATACATCCCTTTAAGGTAAGGCGGTGGGAACCTGGGACAAAGAGACGATTGGGAGGGAATTCCATGGTCGAGCGGCGCGAAGACACAAGCAGAAAGGGGAAGTGTTTTGTCCCACACCGTGGCTGGGAGGGCGCAGTCTGTCGAAGGGGAAAACGGCACGGGTGGATGAGGCAACGAGTGAGGCTCTTGAGAGCGGTCACCGCGATTGTAGCGATAGCAGAGTGACGAGGAGGCAACTGGACACCGGTGAGCGAGAAGCCGGAGCGAATCGGAGAGCTCTGGATAATTTTTCATAGAACCGAACTAATTTAAAGCTTTCGTGACTGCAGGGATTCATAGTCTTGGTTCTTTCGGTAAAGTCACATAGAAGGGAAACAATACAATAATAAAAATATAAGATAAAATTCGCAAGAAAATGTTATTGCTGTGGTTTTCACACCTGATGATGATTGCTTGTGTTGCAGTCGAAACGTCGTGAGAATTTTATTGTTTTATATTTTTATTATTTTACTGTTTCCCTTCTACGTGACTTTACTGAAAGAACCAAGAATATAAACCTAACTGCTTTGCGTTTTTTTTGTTTAACTCGCTCAATTCTATCTGTGCACGTTTCGTGGAAGTGTTCCGAATTAATTTCAAAGTGCGCAAACGTGCGCCCACTTGTCAGAGCTAACGCCTACAAACGCAGACATGGCCTACAGGTTACGAATCCCGAGTCAGAGCACATCGTGCACCGTTTACACGCAAACATTAGGGCATATGCATATCACCGTATGCAAATGCACATACACATATACACAGCGGCAATAATTTCCATATAGCTTAAACAGGCTGACGGGGGCCAAGTGCTGTTGGCACAGCGGTAGAAACAGTGGGGGCAATCTTGATTTGAAGCTTTCGTGACTGCAGGAATCCGTAGTCTTTGGTTCTTTCGGTAAAGTCACGTAGGTAGAAAATTAAATAAATCACGACGTTTCGATCGCAACACAAGCGGTCGTCCTCAGGCGAAATTTTTTTAATCCAGCAGTGGAACTAACCCACTGCTGGATTATTTTATACCTACATGACTTCACCTACGTGACTTCACCGAAAAAAACAAAGAGTGGCGGCAAGTTTCTTAAATCCTCCCCACATGTGGACGTCCGCTGAGTAGATTAAATGGGAACACCAAATCGAGTGTGGGAGAGAACTGAAGCGTGAGTACCCCCACCACTTCCTACGAGATGTCTGGTGAGCGAGGAAGAGTAGGCCCCATACCACCTTGAAGTGTTCTCGAGAGCTTCCTCCGGTGGATGCGCTTCTACTAGCGGAGGCGTGAGCAAGACATTGCAGGGCTGCGGCTTTACCTTCACCCCAGCGAGAGCCCGGTTGTGCGAGGCACCGGGTCTAGGGACCTAAGAAAAGATCCGAGACTTTTTCGACGTCAAATAAACACGTGGTTGCAGTAGGCTTTCGCGACCAATATCATCCATAATCGATGGGGGGGGGGGGGGGGGGTTGTGTTAGGTCACGTGTTTATAAATGTGTCGTTATACCCGCCACCACCCGACACAGCCAATTAGTAAGGGTTTGTTACGTAAACAAAACCTACCAATGCGTCACTAGTACAGCACACCCGGTGTGTTGTAGAGTAAACCCACGGCGTTCACGATTTGAATACCGTGACGCTTCGCCGGTAATTACAACCAACCAGCCCCATCAGGCAACAGCCAGAATTGCGCAGAATTCGTTCTCCTGTGTGGGCCTTCAATAGCGGTGGGGGGGGGGGGAGAGGGTAAGCGTGACGTCGTCACTTGCGAGACGCAGTGCGGCCAGATGCCCGTGCAGCGGAACGTCGGACATCGCGCGGGCGCGAGCCGAAAACGCCACCGAAAGCCACGCAGCGTGGCCACGAAATAAAATAATTAATCAATATGACTGAGAGCCGGGGGGGGGGGGGGGGACGAAGCGGTTGCTGCTGCACAGGGGACGGGAGGAGCCTGCAGAGACCTGAGTCGTGGTGAGCGGAATTCAGCCTCGGGGACCACGCCACACCGACATCGCCTCCATTCGCGCCTGATTGATGGGTTCCTGCAGAGGTGGGGGCGGGCGGGCGGGGGGGGGGGGTTGGTGATGGCCCTGTCACTCGCCAAAGGCTTCCAGAAACATTTCGGGCGGCATTAAAGCACTCGGCCAGTGACACGCAGGGTGACAGTCCGCGAGGGTTGAGATTAATGCGACGCAAAAAAAAGGATTTCAAAGCGGCGAACTTATTGGCTTCATCGTCGTGATCGGACGTAATCTGTCCACGAGTGGACGAAGGCCTTCCAAAAACTGGTCTCGTAATTCAACTTTGCCGGTCTAGCTCGAGTTTATTGCTCCATCTCTACGGTGAAACTCCGTCCGGTTGGTTAAGTAACGAATACCACCACCCACAGATTTTATGGCACGGCTCGGTAATTAATTATCTGCAACCCATTTTATAGACTGACAATACACAGATGCACGATTAAACGTAGGACTTCTGGAATTCTGATTGACTTAAACAATAGGAATTTTCAATTGCAACCTGAGTTCGATTCGCAGCGATGGCGAACCACAATTGGCGAGTGATATCTGAGTCGGATCTAGCTCACATCCACTTCCACCCACCACCCGCAGTGAACAGTGCAGGATTAAGCTAGTGCGGGGCCTGTAGCATATGTTGTTATAAAGGGGTCCTAAACAAATACAACTTAAATATTAAAACACTAAGTTTTTACTTGCATCGTAAAGTTATTGTATTTTTTCATTTGCTATACAGCCATATAATACGACAAATCGCTAACCTTAAACACCCAGTCGTTCATAAAAGTTGAAGGGCAGTATAGTACTATAGTAATAGAGCAAGTGCAGGATCACTGAAGCGGAATTGATAGCTTGAAAGCATTTAGCGCGGGGCACCTTGAAAGTGTGGGGCCCGTAGCATTTGTAGTTACTTGTGGTACTCGGATAATCCGGCACTGATGGTGAAGTATGGTCAAACAAACCCCATGACTGGCATGGTGTGCGGCGGGCCTTCATCGAGCAATAAATAAACAAATGCCTGAACAATTAATAATTTGTATTATTATTCCACTTGCAACAGATTGCGAAAATGTGTTTCGTCATTCAACTTTACTTAATTGTTAATAGACAAGATTCATATTGTTGGTTTTGTAAGGCGCACAAATACACATTAATGTGCGCATGAAGGTAGCGGCGTTAAAGAGCATTTTTGTAAATTATTATTAATAAAGCAATTTTTCTCAGATTTGCGTTGTGAGCGGTGTCAAAAGCGTCACCTTTCACTGTCTAGAAATGGCGGCGCAAGACGCGCGCACGCACGTGTCTACGTTTAACTTCTTCTTTGGTTCTTTCGGTAAAGTCACGTAGAATGACAATAAAATAATAAATTGATAAAATAAAATAACACAATAATATTCTCACGACGTTTCGGCCACAACACAAGCGGCCTTCATCAGGTGAATGGGACGAGACTGTCTGGAGGACAGCGCTGGAGTGAGAAAGCCAAGCTGAGATCACGACCTTTAAGCTACGTTTAACTTCTTTCGCACCGTACGTCGCGAACCGCGCTAATAATTATAATCGGAGGTGCGGGGTGTAAGGAGAACAAAGCGATGAGAAAGACGTCAATTGGGGGAGACCAGCCCAAGTTGTTTGTTTTGTTTGTTTTATATCGCAAGGGCAGTGATTATGAGCGATGCAAGTTGTGAAAATTGCTGGAAGTAGAGGTACTATATTTAGGAGTTCCGGGAGGGTAACAGATCAATACGCCGCCTGTGAACAGTAGTGATCCTCCTGTGCCTCATCATTAATACGTTGTCATGTGAATGTCGTGTTTTACAATAGCCTCGTGAGATTAAGGAACAATCTTGAATTTGTTATTTCGGTTGACAAGCAGGCCATGCTACGAAATACTGGAATTACATTTTACATTAATTAAAGATATATCAGCTGCTCCATGAAGACCTCAAATACCGTGTCGGTTATGTTTTTTTTTACCATACTTCATCACGTTGGTCAGTTAGTGCTGGTTGGTGAATTGCGGGGAGGGCGGACCGGTTCTGATATCGCTCATCAATTATGTTAACCGTGACTGGGAATCTAACTTGGGTTACGGGGTTCAATGCACCGTGCGCTAACCACTGTACCCCGTTCCACCACAAACTATGGTCGAGTGTCAATAAATTCCATTCTCCTTATTTTCTCTACGAGTGCCATGTCATGTACAGCCCTTTGTCAAACCACAGCTGGGTTGCACGTCTCCCAAAGCCGCGTCAGTCATTGGATCTGTTCGGCTATACTTCATCAGGAAGGTCAGTGCGGGTTGGTGAAGATGGAAGATGTGGGTGCATAGGATCTGTTTTATATTTCACTCGCCACTTAAAACTACTAAACTAAAACTGAGTCATTTTTCTTAAGTTCACCAGGTAAGGCCCACTGAGCTATATATCTGTTTTTCAGCAGCGACTTGGCCACAATTGATAGCTCAACGAAGTGGCTTACCGCGTAGAAATGGAGGACCCGGAGAAAAATCCACGCGACCACGGGGAGAACATGCAAACTCCAAACGTACAGGCCTCAGGGTCGGGATCTGGATCGAACCCACGACCTCCTGTTTACCAGGCGAAGGTGTCCACATCTCGCCATCGTGGCACCCCTTATCTTAGCCATTGGTGTCAATGGAATTAGAGTTGCCGGGATGCATTGCGCAGTACGCTAACCACTGCGCCCTAGAACCAAAACTGCAAGCAAACGGGCAGATAGTAAATAGCGCCTGTTGCACGAGTGAAAACTCCTCCTTACCTTTCCCTCCTCCCAACACATACATCACATGACACACACGTCCGCACGGACACACACACACACCTACACACCTGCCCTGCATGCCAAACCAATGAAACGTTAAACTCAGCTCCAGCATTGGCGGTAGGTGGAAGATTCTTATCTAAGACGCGCTAATTAAAAAGTCCGCCTACTTTAAGGCGTGTCCGTCCAATCAGGTGCTCCTCCGTGCGATATGTAACTGCGGCCCACGGCGAGAGCGTCGAGAAGGAGAGAGGAGAGGAGAGAGACGCTCACAGCCTCGGCGGCAAGAGGAGGAGGAGAGAGCTGAGAAATTGTCCAAGTCGGATTCGTCCGCATCGCGGGTCTCGCACGCTCTTAAACAGCCGTTCAAGGTGAGCGTCAATGCGACCACGTGTTTCATCCGCAAGTGACAAATGCCGCGTAAGTATTGTCTGCCGGTATTCATTGTACCTGGCCTTATTGGTCACTTTTGGGATTTGTCTGTTATCCAATCACGCACGTAGCGCAAAAAAAATAACGCGAAGGGATACGTAGCGTTCGCTTAAATGCTACGAGAATTTTTTGAGGTCGCAGAAATTTGTCAAAAATATATATTGTTCCAGCTTTTTCCAAATAAAGGAGAATTAAAATGCCGTTGTTATTATTCCATGCTGTTGTGCCAGTACGTTGTCTAAACAAAATGAAACTCGTATATAAGGAATTACTTTAGATACAATATTGCACGCCTTTGTAATAGAATAGCATTGTCTTAAACACAGACTTGCATTTAATGAACAAATAGAGAGAGAGATGTATGTGCTTGTGAGACCAGCAGCACCCAAAGCATTTCGTATATGCAATTTAAATTACAGACGACAGCCACTCTCTGCCCAGAAGCGTTACGCATGGTGATAAATGCCCCAGCTTAAGCTTTCAGATGTACATGGACATACAGTATATTGTTTTAGTGTAAATACACTTTAAAAAGTGAAAAGTAACTAAATATGGAACGCTCAATGCACGTGCAAATGTCCATTTCTTTTTTTACTTCGACACAAAGCAACGCCATAGTTTGGCTTTCATGGCCGCTCTGCAAATGTTACGTTGAAAATGACAATGCAGCAACTTATCTAGAAACGACTGTGAAGGGTTCGATCAAAAACTCAATAGAATCTGTCCGAGAAAACCTAACACAAGTGGAGTCGGCAGACAGAAGCTGTTCGCAAGCCCTGGAGCGTGTGTGAGGGTCGTGTGTGAGAGGGTAGTGTGTGAATGTGTGTGAGAGGGTAGTGGGTGTGTGTGAGGGTAGTGGGTGGGTGTGTGTGAGGGTAGTGGGTGGGTGTGTGAGTGTGTGTGAGGGTCGTGGGTAGGTGAGTGTGTGTGAGGGTAGTGGGTTGGTGTATTCGTGTGTGAGTGTGTGTGTGTGAGAGGGTAGTGTGTGAGAGGGTACTGGGTGGGTGTGTGAGTGAGTGTAGTGGGTGGGTGCGTGAGTGTGCGAGTGTGTGTGTGTGTGTGAGAGGGTGGGTGTCTGGGGCGGATGGTTGCGAGAAAACTTCGTTTGTCAAAATAAGCGTCCTGGGTAAAAAAAAAAAATTGGCACGGGGCGCCGCGGCCCTTGCGTCCTGCGCCGACTCGCCCAGTGGTACGTTGCTGCACCCAGCCACGGCAGTAGGGGGGGGGGTTGTTGTTTTCTTGTGCCACGCCACACAAAAGCACTCACAATTTATGCAACACTCAGCAACAATTCAGGAATGCCACGATAGTTGCAAGTGCAAGAATCATTCGGAGTCTCGCTCCGATTCTTCGTTTTAATCGCGAATCGCTCCGTAGAGTAAGGGTAACGCAGCTCCACTTTCATGGAGGTGTGTTGCGATGAAATGAACGTAACTGACCTGGTCTCCTGTCATTAACCAAGGATTTTTTTCTTTCTCTTGTGCCACCTGTGGCTGTCAAAATGTTGGCCGTGTTCAACAGGTATAGTTGTCGTTAGCACGCCCGAAACCCAACGTAACTTTTCACCAGACTCTTGAATACGTCATTAAAAGCCAAGAACAGGTGGCTAATTTACTAATTCAAAATATGCTCGTAGAAATTGTCCACAAAATACGTCCGAATATTTGTATGACTGTAGTTTTATAACTCCTCGATTATCTTTATTTCTTTGTTTTTTACAAATATAATATTTCAAACTCAAAGCCGTTACTGCGTGCCGATATGGCAGTGCACCCTCTTCCAAGCCTCCAATTACTCGTCGGGGGGCATTTGAAGGAAAATTTGAAAAGAGAGAGTAGAAAAAAACACCCCAATGGAGAGGCGTAACTTTGAAAAAAAAATCAAACACGTTTTCAAATGGCGACCGTGGTTGACGACAAGAAATTACAATAAATAACCGGTAGGAAAATTTTGGGCCACCCCCCCCCTCCCCGTTTTTTTGTTGTTGCCGTGGTGGTGGTGGTGGCGGTGGCGTGGGGCGGCCTGTGTCGGGTTAGTAACGGCCGTGCCCTACGGCAGACTTGAAGCAAAGGTGTGGTCTCGAATTCCGCGAAGAGGGTTGGGCGCACAGGTTCTGAGGGAGGGAGGGAAGGGAGGGGAGGGGGGCATTTGCTCGGCGGCTATGGAGGTGGTGGGACGGGGAGCGGTTCGCAGGTACATTATTACGCGTCGCAGGCACGACAGGCTTACGATCAACACCCTTTACCTCCGAGCTATCCGTGTCCTATCGGTGCGTTCCGTAGAATTGTTTACTGCACGTTTCGCCAGACCAATGTTTGACAGCGTTCGCATAGCTCTCTTTTAAGATCAAAGTGAATGTTTACACGCGGTTATTTGTGTGTTGTATGATCTGCTCCCATAACGCACTGTAACTATCTCTCCATCTGTCTCCCTTTTGGCAGGTGACTGACGGGAATGTTTTTTTTACATTTGGCCGCATGTCAGATGCAACTTCATCCCCTCGCCTGCGTCGACTTTCCAGACCATTTATCTTCTCGCAGCACAACAAATGTGTGTCACGGGTTTATCCCCTCTCCTGCTAAGGGTGACGATAACATGGCCGTTTCTTCAATACTGTTTCAAAAAAGGATTTGAGTCTGGAAATATGAACGACTTCCAATACCTGTGCCTCCCGAATGTTTTAATGCTTTTTGTAAAACACGATAAGATGATGTTGCCAATTTTGGGCAGGAATCCAAGGGTGGTGTGGAGGACTTATTTTTTTTTAAGATATCTCTCTCCAACTCTCACGAGACTGACTGCGCTCTTAAAGCCAAACTGGATTTCTCATACACACTCGCGGGTACTGAAACGGAACAGGTCTGTCTGGAACACTACAGTGGCCCACAAAAAGCCACGGTGGAAAGAAAGAAATGAAATGAAATTAATAAACCCACCGGAGACGCTGAAACCGCTTCTCCTTCTTCTTCATCATCATCATCATCCTCCTCCTTCTCCTCCATGCAATTCCCACGATTTCCGACGTCCTTCATTCCACCGGAGTCTGTCAGGCTTAAACGACAGATTTCGGGGGATGAAGTGCATCGGTCGTAGGGTAAAGCGACGGAGCTTTCTCAAGAATCAACGCGACAAACAAGACAGCCACGACGCCTCCTCTGCATTCCGATGCGACGCTTTCGGCACTTGTCATTATTGCGGGGGTGTGATGCTAAAACTGCTGTCCGTGTGCGTTTGTCAGTTTGTGGTATTGATCGTTTAAAATAAATCGCGTGAATTTGACGGAGGCTGGGCTCTGTAATGAGTTGTCGTGATGTTTATGAACCGTGCAAAACAACACAACAATGGATCCGCACGGCGTGGAAGATGCCCACGTCCAGCGGAGGATTGGTTAATGGGCCGTACACGTACCTGCTACAAGAGAACAGAAACACCGCCTTGCGTATAGCCACGGGTGTGGAAATTCAAGGGGGCTTGGGCCCTTTAAGTGGCCCCCTCAATATCCTCCATGACCCTACTCGGTCGCTTCCCATAAGCCCCCATGTTTGCCTGCCCCCCCCCCCCCCCCATGCTCTAAATACTGTATCACTAAAAACGTACAAACAGCACACTAAGTCACCCACACCGTTGTCAAACTAAATTGGAGCGGACACTACCAACAAGCTGTTTGAAGTGCGTGCGTATTTATGAGCGTTCGAAAGCATTTGGCCCGTGTGGCTTTTTGTTTGGTATGCGTCTCGTCATTGAGGTGTCATTGTCAGATCGACCGTGGCCTCTGCTCACCTGGTGGTCTGAGCTCGAGTCCATCTCCTGCTGATTTTTTTAAATTTTACTTTACCAGAACTCTGGCCATCTTGGAAGGAGGTGTGCGCGGCATTGTCCTATATAGATGTCTCCATTAAAATGGAGACAATTCAACACCTAATCCACGCGCACAACATACAATTAGAGCAATATGCTACAAAGTACCGGTATTGACATAATGCTAGTAATAACATTTAAAAAATGTCCTCATTGGCTGAATTGTATGACCAAAGAGGGTATAATATTCGGTTATCAGGCGTGGAAATTTGCACTTTATAAGCGTAACCTTAACAAGTATATTACGCGACGATGGTATGCCAATAATACTACTCAAATTCCCCACGAGAGGGCACACAGAGGATCGTGTTCAAATACCCTGGCATTTGCGAGCACTGAGTGAGGTGCGGGAGGGCGTCTGATGACTCTCTCTGAGCAATGTGTGAGCATATACTAAACAAATACACTGTACTTTGGCAACCGCCGTGAACTACACAGGGCTTTACGTGTCGTACCGAACACAGGACGCCCAGAATACGTCTCGTGATGGCAGTGGCTTCTCGAGTTGACGTGCATATCCGAGTCTCGCAGCCACCGGCAAAGCAATCGGTGAGAAATTAAGCCATGACCATGAATAATAATAAAAAAAAATCATGGAGAGCCCTTTGTCAATCCACAAGATTCAGGTATCTTCCACTCCGTGGGGGTCGAGGGTGTTTATTTGACAATACGTCACGCTGGCCAGAGCCGGTTCTTGAGAGGGAGTCCAGGACCGGTTCAGATATCACCATCACTGACAATTAACTATGTAACACTATTTTTGTTCCTGGATAGTAAGTGTTATTTTCTAATTGCGTATGCCTCAAAAGTATAGAAAATGTATATTATTCCCCACGAACTTTGCTTTTGTGACCAGGACTTCACGTGAAGGAATGACACGAATGCACACGTTTATTAATTGAAAATAGGTAAATTTCAAAATATCACTGTCCTGGTCACAAAAGCAAAGTTTGTGGGGAAAAATAGTCATTTTCTGTAGTTTTGAGGCATAAGCAATTATAAAATAACACTTACTACCCAGGGACAAAAAATATATTTTTTGTTACACTGTGATATAATTATCATCGCCTTTGGCTACACAGTACTCTCTATACTGTGTAACTAATAAGAAAAAACGATCTCTGAGACCCAAATTGGCTCATATAATAAGAAGCATATTCTAAAAATCCTGCAACCATATTGCCCCTTATCCAGAAAAGCCTCATTCCAAGCCTTAAAACTGGGTCGTTTGGCTATTTCAATGTATGAGTGATTGGAAATTCCAATGAAACTTTACGTCTCTTGGCAAAGCAAGAGACACATGAAGAAGGGCCATTCCCGAAACGTCGCCCATTACATATTGTTCAAGACTACAGTGTTGAATAATGTGTTGAGTTGTTGTTGTCACCACTGCCAACGTGGCATCAGTTTGTTCTCCTTCCCCCGCACCTTCCATTAGTATGGTTGGCCAAGTACGTTGCGGTAATACGTTCAAAGTACTCTTTGGTTCTTTCGGTAAAGTCACGTAGATGAAAAATAAAATATAAAATAAATAAAAGTAAAATAAAAATAAGTGATTTAATTTACTTTTATTTATTATTATTTGTATTTTATTTTTCATCTACGTGACTTTACCGAAAGAACAAAGAGTATGGATCCTTGCAGTCACGAAAACTTCAAATCTAGAATGTTCAACGTACATACAAATAATTTGTCCAGTGAAGTACATCGTTGGCTTGTACCGTACTGCCCGGAAAGTAAGAGACACTTAAAACATGTCTGGTGTCAATAAAGCTATACCAATGTGGTCGCAACCACATCTTTTGCTTTAAAATACGCGGGGTGAAATGCGTTTTATAATCCGGAGAATACAGTCAAATGTTTCTGCCACTTGAGTGGTCTGAATTTCAGACCCAATAGAGGAGTGAAAGCAAGGAGCAACCGAGTTGGATTATTCTTGATTTGAAGCTTTCGTGACTGCAGGAATCCATACTCTTTGGTTCTTTCGGTAAAGTCACGTAGGTATAAAAATACAATACAACAAAAAATAATATTTCGATTTAAAGCTTTCCTGACTGCAGGGATTCATCTGCTGGGTTCTTTCGGTAAAGTCACGTATAATGGAGATAAAATAATAATAACAGAATAAAATTATCACGACGTTTCGGCCACAACACCAGTAGCCTTCCTCAGGTGAAGAAACAGGACTGTCCAGAAGACAGCGCTTGAGTGAACCCTGCCAAGCTTGACAGCGTCTTTTAAGCTATGTGGGAGTAACAGAGCGCCTTGACAAAGGAGTTTACATATAAATTAGCATGTAACTGGGGGATTAGCATGATGTTGGTGTGAGGGATGAGCACCACGGAGAGCGACGAGCTTTGTTCAGACGGACGAGTCCATCTATGTTCGGAACAGAGGAGGGGGGGTGGAAAGAGGAAACAGCCACGGTGCGCTGCTCTGTACTTGTAGTATTTATTCTAGAATAATACATATTGTAATATTTATTCTAGAATAATACATATTGTAATATTTATTCTAGAATAATACATATTGTAATATTTATTCTGGAATAATACATATTGTAATATTTATTCTAGAATAATACATATTGTAATATTTATTCTAGAATAATACATATTGTAATATTTATTCTAGAATAATACATATTGTAATATTTATTCTAGAATAATACATATTGTAATATTTATTCTAGAATAATACATATTGTAATATTTATTCTAGAATAATACATATTGTAGTGTTTATTCTAGAATACATATTGTAATATTTATTCTAGAATAATACATATTGTAATATTCTAGAATAATACATATTGTAATATTTATTCTAGAATAATACATAGTGTAATATTTATTCTAGAATACATATTGTAATATTTATTCTAGAATAATACATATTGTAATATTTATTCTAGAATAATACATATTGTAATATTTATTCTAGAATAATACATATTGTAGTGTTTATTCTAGAATACATATTGTAATATTTATTCTAGAATAATACATATTGTAATATTTATTCTAGAATAATACATATTGTAATATTTATTCTAGAATAATACATAGTGTAATATTTATTCTAGAATAATACATATTGTAATATTTATTCAAGAATAATACATATTGTAATATTTATTCTAGAATAATACATATTGTAATATTTATTCTAAAATAATACATATTGTAATATTTATTCTAGAATAATACATATTGTAATATTTATTCTAGAATAATACATATTGTAGTGTTTATTCTAGAATACATATTGTAATATTTATTCTAGAATAATACATATTGTAATATTTATTCTAGAATAATACATATTGTAGTGTTTATTCTAGAATAATACATATTGTAATATTTATTCTAGAATAATACATATTGTAGTGTTTATTCTAGAATAATACATATTGTAATATTTATTCTAGAATAATACATATTGTAGTATTTATTCTAGAATAATACATATTGTAATAGGTATTCTATAATAATACATATTGTAATATTTATTCTAGAATAATACATATTGTAATATTTATTCTAGAATAATACATATTGTAATATTTATTCTAGAATAATACATATTGTAATATTTATTCTAGAATAATACATATTGTAGTGTTTATTCTAGAATAATACATATTGTAATATTTATTCTAGAATAATACATATTGCAATATTTATTCTAGAATAATACATATTGTAATATTTATTCTAGAATAATACATATTGTAATATTTATTCTAGAATAATACATATTGTAGTGTTTATTCTAGAATAATACATATTGTAATATTTATTCTAGAATAATACATATTGTAATATTTATTCTAGAATAATACATATTGTAATATTTATTCTAGAATAATACATATTGTAATATTTATTCTAGAATAATACATATTGTAGTGTTTATTCTAGAATACATATTGTAATATTTATTCTAGAATAATACATATTGTAATATTTATTCTAGAATAATACATATTGTAATACTACAAGTACAGAGCAGCACACCGTGGCCGTTTCCTCCTCTTCCCCCCTTCCTCCGGTCCGGGCTCGTCGCTCTCCGTGGTGCTCATCCCTCACACCAAGATCATGCTGATCCCCCAGTCACATGCTCATTTATATGTAAACTCCTTTGTCAAGGCGCTCTGTTCCTCCCACACAGCTTAAAAGACGCTGTCAAGCTTGGCAGGGTTCACCAAAGCGCTGTCTTCGGGACAGTCCTGTTTCTTCACCTGAGGAAGGCTACTTGTGTTGTGGCCGAAACGTCGTGACAATTTTATTCTGTCATTATTATTATTTTTATTATTTTAGCTCCATTCTACGTGACTTGACCGAAAGAACCCAATAAAATAATATATCACGACGCTTTGATCGCAACACAAGCGGTCGGCCTCAGGCACCTGAGGACGA